CGTTCTCATCTCATTTCATCTCAAGTACTAGCTGATTATTAAAAAACTGAGCAGAACCAACCAACATGTACTAAGTACAGGTAGAGAGATTGAAGCAGTAAAACAAAAGTTGAAAATAAGGTTACCTGGAATGCAAAGGTGAATTATGAAGATTTGAATCAAAACAAATTGATTGCAGCTACCCTTCAAGGTTTTTGTAACCATCGGCACAATTTTGTAGACAGGATAACGTGCCCTTTGCACCACTAAATATTATCCATAATGCTGGTGCTACTTCATTTCTATATGCTGCTTCAGACCATTTTATGCTTCTGGCAAGTTTTTCTATATAAATGTACTGCAGATGTAACTTCATGCATATTTAACCATGTACGCCAAACATTAATATATTTGTATCACCAGTTTCTCCCACGAATAACTAGCCGAGAACACGGCTTTTCTCAACCTGTACTTCAAAACCTACAGTTAATTCACGGAGATATTCCAAGATACCTGTCAATTATGTTGGAATAATCAATAGAATGCTCTTGGAATATCAATAAGACTGCATTCAAATTCTCTGACAGTAGTTAGGGACCATGTTGTATTCTAGACTGTTTATCTGTCTGGGGGGAACTGGTGCATAATTGATTACATTAATGTAATTTTTATCATAACTGATGATAATGGTGTTGTGTCCTTACACCTGCAACCAGATTTTCTTAAAAGTATTGTGCTCAGTACCTTTGAAGTGGCGTAAACTATTTTTGACCAAGGCAAGCTACAACCTACATGTATGATGTACAAATCTGAAGGAATCCAGATCACTTGACTACAAAACGTGTCAAAATGTTAGAATACAGTCCCAATGTCATCAAAAGACTCATTGCAATTACATCATAAAATTCTGCTGGGCTCAATGGTAGAATTTGATTTCAAAGTTGCATCACTACAGGTTGTATTAGAAAACCCTTACCTGAATAGTGCCCCCTATTCGAGGTCTTTATTAAACATTTATTCAAACTGAGTGCATGTATTTGAAAAGTACAATTTGTTAGCTTTGCAAAACAGCAAACCCTAATTTGGTAATTCAGTAATTGCAAAATGACTGAGTTGTGTCTAATCACTTTTTCCACTTGTAACCCGGACAGGCTGTCTTATGCGCACACTCTACAGTGTGGTCTATTGGACTGGTCTTTAATTTCCACACTTGTTGGTTGTTACATTGTCAGTCATAACATTAAACAGATCTTTCAAGTCTTGAAAGATCAAAAATGATTTTATCGCATACAAAACATGCCATTCTCACTGATCAAAACTTGGCATAGTAATGTTGAACGCTCAAAATAAGTGTGCATAATAAAGGCCTCAAATTGGGGGATGCCATGATCAGGGTCCAGATGTTTCTGTGACATCCTGTAGGATTCACTTTGCTTGCCCAAACCGGAATTTTGTTCTCTATGGCAATTTCATGTAGCTTATTACTATGTTATTGAAAACTTTATTGAGCATATTGTCGTTTGTTATTTTTAGCACACTTGCCATACCAACCAAGATACAGGCTGTACAGGCAGAGAGATTGAAAGGTGAAGATTCAATTCAATATAATTTTCAAAAATATGAATACCCTGCAGTGCTATCAAGTATATAACATGTACATATTTTCAAAACGTGACGTATATTTTTGAAGCCGTTTTAAGGAGATATATTTTCCAAAGTTTGTTTGTTTGAGACAAACATTTTCCAGCTCATATTAATGAGATTTATATTAAGAAATGTTTCTATTTTTAGTAACGAATCTTTTACGAGATAAATATTTGATGAAGTTTTTTTTTATGTTTTCTTTTTATGCTATTTTTTTTCAAGCTAATTTTCAGGAGATTCACAGTTTCAGGTTGGATTTATTTCTCACAAAACAAGCTTCAGTAAAATATAACTCACAAAAAACTTCTCAAAACGAACTTGGAAAAACATATCTCGTAAAATGATTTCTTTCCAAAAATAGAAACATCGCTTCTATATACAGATCTTACGAGAACGAACTGGAAAATATATCTCGTGAAAACGAAGTTGAAAAAAAGTTTTTCATAAAAACAACCTTTAAAAAGTATACTTCGCTTGAAAATATGTATTTTACAGCACTCCACAGCTTTTGTACCAAAACATGTGACATGCAAAATGAAATGAGTGGCGCAAAATCAACATGAAATTCCTTACTAATGAAATATTGTTCCATCGAATGTGTACATAATTAGCAAGCATCATATCCAGGAAAGACACAATTTTTACAAAATGAAACAATGCATGCAATATATGCAAAACTTCTCTACGTTTTTACACAAATCTCCTTGATTATTTTGCTTAACTAATTTGTACTTTACAGGATGCCTGTTATCAATTTGTTTCAATACAAAACTTCCAAATGCCCCTTTCTGTCTCGGTGAATTCACCCATTCACTTAATTCACTCTACTCCTCTCTTTCCATGGGTATTTTGATGCTTCCATTGTTTTATGCGGATGAGTGTTTGCATATTAATCACCAATCTGTGATCTCATCCCAAGAAGAAAAACCTCAATGTTAAACTGGTTTGTACATAAAAAGTCCTGCATTTTTATAGATTTCGCTGGACTAAATTTATTTCTTCTTTGCTGATTCTTTGCATATGTGCACTGCTGTAATAATTATATTGCATCAATCTCTTTCTCAGAAATGTTTTCAATGAGTAAAGTTTGGGATTACAATTCGAACAAAAAAGCCTATGCAATTACCTATGTCTTGCCTGGATGACATCACAGCAATAGTACGTTCAGTTGTCCAAGAAAGCATGCATAATTTTAAGTGTGGAACTCCCTTTGACGAGAAACCCATGACAAACATCCATTAGGTGTGCTGTTTAGGTCAACGAAGAGAACAGTAGCCCATCTGACTTGACCGTCCTACATAACAAAGAAACAAAAAGAGGACGGTTACTTATCGGTGACAAACCTATTGGCTCCATGCACAAAAGTCATAAAACAGCATTTACAAAAACAAGACTGCAGAGTTCTAGTTTTATGCTAAAAACGGGGAAATTAACAAGCTTTGCGGTCCAGCAGAAGACTTAGAAACACTAAATTTAAATAGAATTGCTGGTGTGTATTCAACAAAAGTCAAAGATTTAAAACCAATCATCTCCAAATTCTCCCTAACCTGTGTAATTAGCTTTCAGGAAAAAAGAATGTTAAATCTAAAAATTAACCCTCTTTGATCCATTTTGCTACAATTGGCCCGGAAAACATACATGTATAACAAAGTAATCCATGCATTAGTCCTTTTTTTGTTTAAATTGTGATCTTTTTTGGTGTTAATCGGTATTATTAACTTAGTAAAATGCCTGGTCAGATAAAATGCTTGTATCTGTGTACAACTGCTGAATGACGGTCTGAACTATATTACGAAAGAGCTTTATGTGTCATTTCCCAGACTTGTTTCATTTTGAGTGCAATGCTTAGAGAAAAATCAAGAAACATTAATTATTTAAACACTCAATTTGTCTTGCAAAAATCCATGGGCCAGAGGACGTTCCTAAGTACCTGGGTAAATGCATGGGCATCGCCAGGAATTGTTTTCGGTGGGGGGAGGGGGCAAACCGTCCAGCTAAAAAAACAATTAAGGGCGAGAGAGGGGGTTCAATTTTTTGTCAGGCAATATGAATATTTTCATACTATTTTAGTTACATTTTTCCTTTATAAGTATAAATGAAAAGGCACCGTAATCCGTTCAACAGGCAGTCTATACCGTGGAGTCGAAGTAGTCTAACCTACTTCCGAATATGGAAATTCACACCCCCAAATAAGATTTTTTTTTAAATTGGAAAGCAAGATTTGTTGAAATACAAAATCTCCTTTTGTTTAGAGCAATCTTAAACCCGATCTCACTACATTCCACCGCGAGGATACATTTGAAATCAAGGGCAAGCTAAATGGAACTTTTGAAAGAACTATTGAAGTATGTGTATTTGCCGCGGCGGGATAGTAAGTCGCTGTGGCGAGATAAGTCACACATCCTAAACACTTTGTATATTAACAATTGTTGTTAATATACTTGCATTAATGATTAATGTTATTGTGATTGAAAAAATGGGAGGTTAAATGCCTCGACTTGCAGATTTTGTCAGACAAAGCAAGCTCCGCTTCGGAACTCGAAGAAGAGAATCCATTTCCACCGTGTTGATCACTTGGGATCATTCCATTATCTTAAGGGGTGACAACGAGATAGTGACATTTTCACGTGAGATAAATTCCTTTTCCATAAAGAAACTTTGATTTCGAACCAGTCCAAATTCTCTTTTACCTTTTTATTGACGGTTTTATATCTATTCCTTAAATATTTGTTCGGGCCAAAGGAAACAAATGGCACTTTGTACTTTAACCCTTAATAATAGACTCCTACAACAGCTACATGAATGACCAAAGTACAAAATTTAACTTTTCTCGGAAAATTATAATGCATTCCGGGCGGAAAGATTTCACAGACTGTCTGACACTATTATTTACTAACTTAAGAGTCAGATAGTTAAAGATGATTCGGCAGTTCCGTTTTTGAGATTTTGCTAATCCTATACACAACCTTCAAGAAACCCTAACCCATCTTATTGTAACACAGGGAACATTATTTTACAAGTGGTCCCTTTGTATAACTATTGGTGTGGAATGATTTTTTTTTGCCCTGAGTTGAAGTGCACCCTCAGCGGCAAAAGAAAGACAAACTGTACAAAGTTATCCAGCCGGGTTTTGCACGCGTTTGGCGTACACGCGAAAACCATGCATTACAGAATCATAGAATATCATTTTCTTATTCGTCTGATATCAACGATAGATCACCAGATCCTATTCAAAGTATACTAGAGTATTCCGTGATCTGCGCAGCGCCCGACTTAAATCAAAACTATGCGCAAAATCACCCCTCATTATTGAACGTTTACGCACAGTAGAAGAATTCCGGCCCAAACATGATGAAGCTGTTTTTCGACTTTGAAAGAAACCTTAATTTACTTAAACTGGCCCATGTAGATTCAAAACAATGCGTTTGCAACATTTAAAAATAAGAGATAGCAGTACCGAAGAACAAAAAGGTGAACGTATTTTGGGAGCACGTGTAAACAAATACAGGCAATATGAGTGCGTTGCGCGTAATGCGCACTGAACGCTCTGTCATCTACCGTTTCGCCCATTGTTTGCCCATACTTTTCAAAATCACAGTTATACGCGCAAGACTGGTGTCTGTGCGTTTATATGTCTGTGGTACCGAAGGACTGTCAGTTTCATTTAAAAACACGCCCTCTTTTGTTCCCGCTTGGAGCAGATAAGTAAGGCCAAGTATACCACAGACCGGTACCCGTCCCGTACATAGTCTCCACATCGTCCAGACATCTTACAGACACCCTCCGAACGTAAAGGGAGCAGGTAATGATTCCGGAGGAATCCTGCTTGTTTCATGTTAATAAGGAAATTAGCATGATATAACAATTCCCACAATGCACCGCTAACATGTGACAGTTTTTTTTTAAGATTTAGTAAAATAATTAACACACACACACACTCTCTCTCTTTACTAAGTCATTTCCGCACGCAACAGAACTTTCAGACGTAATTACCTACTTTTAATGGGTAACTGCTTACGTAATACGGGCGATTCGCAATAGCGCGCCTCCAAGAGTTTGCAAAACGTCGGCCAATCGCAATGCGCGAAATCTGTCAACCTTTTACAAACGTGCACGACAGCTTTCACGCATTTGAACGCGTTCGTCAACATATCTTACGCATGTCACAATGATGGTAATATGGAAGAGCTGGCGTAGCAAAGTGATCAGAATATAGACAAGAATATAAGATTAAATCAGTGCTCTGAAATATATGAGTGCCAATCATTATATTTCAGAGCACTGATTTAATCTTATATTCTTGTCGATATCACTATCATGGTATGCGGTTCGTAAGTGTGACGTCACTTCAGTCTAAACCACGCCACTGGAACCACGGAACCGGAAGTTAACACGCAACTTCAGCGATCGTCCAATGGGAGCCTGCAAATCGTCGCGTGTCCGCCTTTGTGACGAAGTCACTTACGATCCGGATTGCGTGGCAATAACGCGCGTAAATCTTAAGCGTACAAGGATCATCACAGCAACATTACTTTGTGTCGTCATAATGAGGTTGATTTTATTCCGATTCTCTGGGGTGATATTGCTGCAACAAAGCAATGCAAAAACATAGAACAAATCTGTATCGGTAATGTTAGGCTGGTATGTAAATTCCTCGCCAAGACTCGCACGCTGCAATTTGTCTGCATGTGTCTCCCATGGATATAAAATTTACGTGAGTCAAAATAACCGCCAAAGTAGAAGATCCTCTGAGAGAAACTGTAAAACTCTCAGCACTGATGGTGACTATGACTTACCCACCCGATCAGCGCAAGCACCGGTCGGGCGGAGGAGGTGGTGGGGTAGGCACGGCGGGAAGTCGGCGGACACGAGAGGCCGTCTTGGAGGGGGCCGAGTGCCGTCGGCACGGTTTCATTCTGACGGACAAGACCCTAGGTACGGGGGCTTATGCCAAAGTACGACTGGCTAGGGTCGGGGAAAAGAAGCTAGAGAGATGCCTTAAGCTGAAAACGGACTTGAAGGAGAAGGGGCACGATATGGTGAGCCTAGGCCTAATATCAGTGGAAAGAAAACAAACAAAGAAACAAACAACCCAACAAACAAAGAAACAAACCAATAAACAAACAACGGGCAACAAATATAATTGAGAGGAAAGATAAGTTCGAAAGAACGGTTGGATACTAACATAGCCCACATTAATTTTTAACTTGGGTAAGCTCTCAGAAAATGACCAAAGTGGCTAAAAAATCAGCAATCAAGGAATTTCTAATAAGGAAGCAATATTAATTTTACAATTTGAAGTAACCCTTCTGATATAACACTTGCCATCGAACTCAACACTGCAATATCTCTATGAGCTTAAAGCAATTTCTTGTTTATGTAACGTCACAAGGTGTGCTGATAAGCACACCACTAACGGAGGCACTTACTGACCGTTTTAACATTGCTTTCTTTCTCGCCTCAGGGCTCGGGAAAACATCTTGAATTTCAAAACCCAAGCATTATCTGCAGTTCAGTGTATCTTTATGTCAAACAAAAAAGGCTGACATGACCCATCCTTTGTGTAATGTCACAGGTTGCAATCAAAGTAATATCCAAGAAGGACGCTCCAAGCGAATATATCAGCAAGTTCATGCCGCGTGAGATCGATGCACTCCGGGTGACGTACAAGCATCCTCATTTGGTAAGTGCAATTAAGGGGATTTTAACGATAGTTTCAGCTTGAACAAGAAGTGCCCATTGTCTCTGACAACAGGTTGTTTAGTTTCCAACCATATATGGGCTGGTAACGTGCGTTTGGAGTCAAGCGGGGAAAATGACGTAAGTATACACGTATTCCAATCATAAGAAACGGCTGAGGACGATTTTGGCATAACTATTCATCATTTTTCTTATTTACTGTTAGTGTGAATTCATGCCAACAGATTCAACTGTACGAGGTTTTCCGTTCAGAGACCCGCATATACTTAGTGATGGAGTATGCCCCCAACGGCGACATTCTGTCCTACATCAACGAGTGCGTGTTGGAGACGGGATGTGCCGTCAAAGAAGAGACGGCCCGACGACTGTTCAAGCAAACCATCAGCGGGGTGTCGCACTGCCATCAACTGAACGTTGTTCACAGGTAACAGTCATGCACTTAAGGGGTGGGGGATATGATTACTGAAAAGAGTTCCACCTTTTATGATATAATTGTCCGCCCACATTTGACACATGCCATTAAACTTTTGGTCTACATCACACTTCAGTATGGCTACAGGGTGTAGTCTCACGACTTTTAAGCCTTAAACAAAATAAACGGTTTTGTAAATGGTCCGCAGGACTCTCCTCCAAATAACCATGTGTTATTAGTAGTATTAGTTTATGTATAGATTGAATCTTTGGTGCCAATTAAGGGTCATATGCTTATGACATGCACGTCATAAGCATTCAATGCAACATTTTTTTAATTTTTCTGTCCGTAGAGATCTGAAATGTGAAAACATACTGCTCGACGAAAACGACAATGTCAAGATATCAGGTGGGATTCCTGACATTTTGTTACAATACTTAAAACCATGTGATCGAACCATTCGATCGTAGAAGGGCAAGGATAGAACCCGCTCACATCTACATTGCTTTTAATCACTCAAAAACGTGCAAAACATGAGCGTTTACAGAACACTTTGCACGAGTAACTGTGACACATATTTTATGGAATTTTGACGTATATTGGACAGCGCACAGAAGAAAACAATGTTTATAACTACGATCAGAATCACCCTGTCCAGTTGGTTTAACATTTTGCAGACTCTTTTGGGGTTCAAGTCCGAGATTGTTTTCAAAAATGGCGGAAGGAAAAAAATAAAATGCTTCTTTCCAGTTCAAGATGAATGCGACGTAGTGAAAAGTTCAGCCTAAAAAACCTTGACTTTCCAGATTTTGGTTTCGCCTGTCGTTTTCCTACAAATCGGTGCAACATGCTTTCCACGTTTTGCGGCTCGTATGCCTATGCGGCGCCTGAGATACTCTCGGCCAAGAATTACGACGGCAAACTAGCTGATATCTGGAGTCTGTGAGTACAGTCAATTGGAGTCAAGCAAGCATTCATGCAAAATAAAAAGCATTCAGTAAAAGTTAGAATTTGGCGGGACGCTAGGGGACCAGGGATGTAAGCGCGTTCCAAACCTCATACCGTAAAACCGAAAAAACGCTTAATTTCAGAAGCGTGCCTGAGGAACATCTTTTTTGGGGGGGGCACTTGCACCACCTTATTTGGGGGGGGGGCGCTTAGTGAGTTATGTCACAGTTGAAACACTGACAAAGGCGGACTATCACCAGATTTTTTCCTCTAATTTCTGAGGGGGGGGGGCACACAGGACTCGAGCAGAAGACCTGCGTGCCCTCCACGTCGCCACGATTATTCCAACAAGTTATCAACCACGAAACAAGTCAGACCGAAATAAATTGCGGAAAGAAAAGCAGTTCTTTGAACCATTTTTTGGTTTGTCTTCCAGAGGAGTGGTACTGTACGCCTTGGTTAATGGTCGCCTTCCCTTCAACGACCAGAACCTGAACACACTGCTGGAGCAGACACGCCGAAAATTGAACTTTCAGCCCTGGGTATCAGTCGGTAAAATGCCTCTTAAAAAGGCTCATTTTGCTCATCACTTTATTAATTCTTTCTTTCAAAAGAATTTCACAATTTAGAACTATCAGTGGTCCTTGTGGTCGGGAAACTGAAAGTGTTGGCTATGAAGGAGCTGACACTTAAAGATCTCTTCCTGAGTTCAATTCAAATCGCGGTCAACGGCAGCGGCCGGTTTATTACAGGCACTAACCCGAACAATGTGCATTAAAATTGGAAAACTAGAGAAATAGCGTTTTTTCATGCAGGCGAATTAAAACATCGACGTCAGGAAGAATGATAACCGAATTGTTTCTGCTGTGAAATTCCACATGTATTTTTAAAGCAACGTTCATTTTTAATAAAGAATATTCACTGTGTATTTTTGGCCTTTTGTGCTAAATCTACGAGAAAAGGTGTCTGCTGTAGTCGTGTTGATCGGGTGAAATCGATTTTTTCCTTTCTCCAGAATGTGTTGATCTCATCCGCAAACTTTTACGCACCCGACCGCTGACCCGACTGCGCATGCATGAGATAATCACTCACCCGTGGGTCCGAAAACACCTCAATATCAAGAAGGTGGCACCATTCACTTCAAGCCAGGTTAGGCAAGGGAAAAAAACAAAATAACAACACAGAGCCCACTGACCGTTTGTGACAATGAATCATGATATTTCATACAAATACGAATATGACAAGTCTTCGACTTTCTGTGGACAAATATGCTTGATTCCTCAACTCTAAATCACAACTTTACGACAAAAGCCCAGAGTACAGAGACAAACGAAGGATCTTTCACCAGTTTGTATTTGATGAACTCTGATGCTGTTTGTTTTCATGACAGGCCTTTCTGAAAGTGATTCAAGAAAGTTCCGAAGAAAATTATTCAGACAGCAGGCAGGAGAGTAAGCAAGAGAAGTTCACGGAACCGAAGCTAATGCTCAAACCCAACGGGGAAACAGTCCGGTTCGATAGCAAGCTGGGTAAGACTGGACGCAAGACCAACTAAATTCATCGCTGCACTTCTGTACATTCTAAATAAAAAAAAAAGACTGCACATTCTAATGGTTTCCTTCACTCCATCTGCAGATAAAAAGTCTGACAAGGCAAAAGGAAAGGAGAGTCAAGCAAGCAAGCCACATACACAAAGTCAAACTGGCCAGAAAGTTGCCGGCTCTCCCCTGCGTCCAAACTTCAAGAGTGCAAAGTCGGACGTGATGCCGGGATCTGGGACGAGTCTCCAGCACAAGCCGGGACCCACCAGGGCAGCCGACAGTTCCCGCATGAGAAATCTATACCGCCGCATCCTCAGGCCATCTCTGGGGACCGAGTACGTCTTCGAGATCGTCGAAAATGAGCATGAGAAAGAGCAGCTGCTGCAGAAGCGACTGCAGTCCAATATGCGAGGGAAGCCGTCTCCATCCAAGACGCCTCGGCTGGGAGTCAGGAGGAGGGCCAAGGTAGAAGCTTCAGCAGTCCCGCCTCACGACGCTATCTCCTCCCCCTCCCCACGACTCACCAAGGCATACACCCCAAGCAAGACCCCCAACAAGATCAAGTCAGACACGGCAGATGACACTGACAGCCTTGCAGGCTATGCAACCACTCTGATACCAGTCAACGTCAAAGAGAAGACCTTCTTGAGGACACGAGGAGGTACTCCGGAGAGAGAGTCCAGAACCCGCATAAGCTACCGCCTGGGACTGTCCCCAACCCCGACCCCAGCCGGTCACGCAGATGCCAAGATTTCTCCCAGTGACAGGAAGAAGCACTCCCAGAGTGAGCCTGCCAGCTGGAAGAGAGGTAAAGCAAAGGCCTCTGATTTCATAAATGTGCATGGGAAGACGGAGCTCTGGAAGCAGGCGCTGAGCGGCACCCTTCAGAAGGAAGTCGTCAAGAATGACCTTAGGCTGGAGTCTCCTAGCCCCAGAGCCAGCCCCGTGGCAGCCTTGACCGTGAGTAACGGCAGTAGTAGTGGCAAGTACAAAGCCAAGATGCGAATTCTAGCGAGGAGGAACCTCCTGCACAGCATCATGCTGAAACCAGACCCTGAGGTGCGTGCCAGTGAAATTCTCAACCAACTGCAAAATAACCTACCAAGACTCAACGATGCAGCCGCCTAGTAAAGTCGAAAATGCACAAGGGTTAGGCATAAAATAATATTTACTGGGGAGAAGGGCAGGGAAGAACACGGAAGCGTTCAAGGAACTTGTGGGGATTTCATAAGAGTATGAATTGATGACATTTGGTACCTGGTCTATGAACAAGAACACATTCACTACTATGTTCGACCAGACATTTTGTTTGACAGTAGGTAAGTTTATACAGACTAGTAAAACCTTTCAGCGGGCATTTATGGACAGCCACATGACACAACTTAAGGGAACCCAATTGATGTTCCTAACTGGGTCATTTGCACTACATGGCAGACAGAGATGTATACAACTTGATGTAATCCAACAGTATTGTTCTGTATACAAGCTGCTGTATACAAGAACAACCTTTAACAAATCTTACAGTGCAGCAAAAGAAACTTGTACATGTATGCTGTAAACAGATGATATTAAGAAGACTTTAGTAATAAATCTCAAACAGGGTTACCTTTTTAATGAGCGACTGAAGAAGTTTCCTTTTATACACAGTGTGGGCAGAGATCAGTATTAGATATTTCTTTGATGTGAAGTCATTGAATTGTTTTACCCTTTAGCAAGGACGTTACTTTAATCACAGGGTTGGATTAGATTTATTTTCCATACGTTTAGCAAAAACCAAACAGAACTTGACAGAATCCATGAAACACACACAGAACACATTAAAATAAAAAACTGAAGACGAAAAGAAAAGAAAGAAAAATATGACAGATCTGAAATATTTTTCCACGTTTTAATACGAAATTCAGTTTTATTTTAACAACCATGCAGTACAAAAGAGTAGCATTGTGCATAGAATAAGAAGGTTGAATTGTTTATATACTGTGCTTAGCGTTTTCACATTAACGATGGTTTCATTTCCTGCAAAAAGATGCAGAATTTTTAATCTCAAAGTTTTAATTGAGGCATGCAGGAACAAAAGAAACAACGAAATAAAATTGTTAATGCAAGTAACAAGGCTCATCTTCCAAATGTATTCTGTGTGATTTGGCTGAAGACTGCGTTCATATCTCCAAGCAAAAAACAAGCCTTTTCTGTAATGCATTTGGAGTACAAGTACAATTTCTTCTGTTACTAACTTACTGCATAGGTAGCAACAGCGACTCATTACTCATGAGAAACAATTATAGATGTTATGCTGTGACCAGTTTATTATTAAACAACGGAAATGGAGAGAAGCTTTTGACTGTGCCTTACCATTCTGAATCTACCAAAACACAAAATCAAAAGCAAAAAACAAAACACACACAAAAAACCCAGAAGCAAAGAACATACACAAAGAGTACACTTGAATATCAGGATACATCTTTTTCTATAATTTTTCATATCCTATCTACTGTGGCATTAGATTTTATCACTACAGTGGTATAAGCTAAGAACTTGTTGATCAACAGTGAATTTAGACTTTTGATAGCGTCTTCTGCTGAATTGAACAACTAATTGAACAACTAATAGATACCTTTCCAACAATCAGAGTTCTCGGCCAGACAGCAAGACATCCCACCAGGGCAAAGACTACAGCAAAGTCTTCTCTCAAGGAAGTAGCCTAAGCCATCGGCTTCTTGAGCTAGATCCCGTCATTTGCGCTACACCCATTCCCCTGCTAGCATGTCTTTGTGACATCACTGTCTGAGACTGGTGAAGAGACTAGTAATACTGGAAGAGAAACACATGGCAGAAGGCAATGTTAGGAAGACCAGGAGTTAGGTAGATTGTATGTACATGTAAATGCACCTGCATATGCTCGATTTCAGTCCTCCAGAGACTTAATGCACATCCTAGCTTGAGGCTGCTCGAAACTCAAACCTTACTTCCTCAAGTGTCACTTCTCCAAATGACTCATGGAGAGTTACAGGATTTAAACTAACTTGCATTGCTTATCAGAGTTGACATGGATTTGATTTTTCAAGGGAATGGGGAACTTCTCAGGTAAAAAGCAGCAGCAAGGTCATTCACACAAACCTGAAATCTTTGCAATGGGTATAAAATATTTTGTTGACAATGATGACATTGATTGACTCCAGTCTTGGGGAGGGGCTGATGACCTCCGCTCTAAATGGTAAATGATTAAGACACAGCTTAGATTGTCAGGGTTCAACTTGATGCTAAGTCTCTTTTCCAAAATTTAGCCTGTACCCTCCTCTCCTTCAAAAAAGTTGGCAGCTCAGAACTTCCGCCTCCTTTCATAACACAAAGTATTTTGAAAGAAAGATCCCCTTCCATTAAGCAGTATTCCAGGGATGGGTGCATCCCATTGAGCAAAGACAGGCGTTCCCAATATAGAAACCCCTGATAGTTTTAATTTCAGAGTTCACTCCCGTGTTGGGGTTATGGGTAATCTTCTAAGCATTTTCACATCGGACATAAAAACAAATACAAGCCAAACCTAGTTTTAACCGAGCCTAGAAATACATGTACCTGATTACAAGGCTGGAATGACGCGGTCATCTTACAGGGCTTTCTTGAGTTCAGCAATCACCACCGATGAATCCGGGAACTTGAGTTTACGGGGTGGTCCCTTCTTGATGCCAGTCCAGAGAAGAACCTCTGTGTATTAAACCGCAGCAAATCATACCCCAAATCCAGTTATTTCAAAAGAATTATTTTCCTGGCAACTGGTGCCCATGTATTATTAACAGGGAAAAAAATGAAATTATTTCATGGTCAAAGGGGCGGGGATGTGGAAAGGAAGAAAAGAGGGAGGGAAAAATTCACATCTGAAATAGTAATGACTGATTACAATATGAATCGGTGAAAAGAAGACTTGGGGCACTTTGATTCTGGCAACAAACAAACCGTTAATAACAAACTTGATTTAGACCTGGCGTTGTTTACATGTATATTGTAGTTTCTGAAGTTCTGTGGAAACAGCTTTAGACTGTATGTGGGGGCTGGAAATGTTGGCGCTACTTACAGAAGAGCCAATGCATTATTTTTTGTTTTTTATCATTTCAATATAACCAGTGATAACAGTGTTCCAAAAACTTAAACAAAGACTAGTCATAAAAACCATGGAGCGTTAGCCTCAAAGTGAATTAAGCTGAGAGGAAAAGTTTCACTTTTGATTGGGCTATGCACAATTCAACCAAATATTGCGGGGGGGTCCTCTTGGAGCAAAGATTAGATGGATCTAGCTCATCTCTCACCAGAGCCGTCCTCCTTCGCCAGAGTGACCTCAAAGCTCTTGGAGCGCGGCTTGTTGGGGTTCTTCTCGGCGCCAAGATCCGGGAACTCGGCCTGCAATGCCTCCAGCAGCTGGTCGGCATTGCGGCCGTACACTCGTCAGGAACGGCTGAAGAAAATACAATAAACACAGGGTGCTAAATAAATGGATTTAGCCAATGAACAACCGTGTCCTGGTTATGCAGCGACTCAAGCAACAGCCATGACATCTTTGTACAGGAGTCCAGACAACTTGTCCATTGGGACAACTTGACTCAGGAAAACTCGCCCGTTAAGACCAATGTTGGAGGTCTTATGGCCGAGGCTGGCCTCAAGGCCATTTTTTTCAAAGCCTTGGCCTCACTACCCAATGACTCTGTCTTGGCCTAGGCCTCGAAACCCTCTGGACTCGAAGAATCAGTTAAGGCTGGTTTGAGGCCGCTCGTTTTTAGTCAGTTTTCTCAGCTTTTACTTTCCCCCCCAAATTTGATGACAAAGTACTTGCGATGTGCATGTGAATGGATCATTTTTGTGTACAAACACATAGTACAGTTCCTAGACTCCTAATGATGCAATGCAGCTAAAATAGTTTTCTATCCCCAGGGAGCATTCTTAGTTTCATTTATTGGATACCGTGCACGATATGGGCCTGATGGGTACCCCCCACATGTCCAATCCCCATACACACTCTAGACTATTTTTACCTAACACATCCCCCCTAGAAGTCTGTAAAGAATTCCTGAGATTCCGATCAAACAATGGCCAACACAAAGGTGGGGGAGGGTTCTCCCTGCCCCATATCTTGCATCATATGATTTATTGCTGCATGAAAAGGATAGCTTTTGTGTTGCGTGAATTAGGCTGCATGTATTTCATTGAAAGCGCACTGTAATTTTCCGAATGACCAGCACTTGTACTGGACATGCACGTGCAATGGCCGCTCAACATGCCAATTTGCCCACGATAGCTTCGCATGTGCCCCCGTGCACAGGGTGGTGTGGACAAGGACTGTCTTTTATATGCCATGGATTCATGGTTAGCATAAAGTGCCATTTTTAGTGCTTTTTCAAGAAAAATTACATGTACAGTCATTTTCCTAGTTCCAGATTTTTCCTAGTTCTGGATCCTTTGAAATAAAAACCTACATGTACCTCTGTGGTGTTGTTCTTCAGTTCTACAGTCCAAGATAAGTTCTGCTTGAAAGGTGAAATGAAGGCTTCTTCTTGTACAAAAACTGATCTCGGAAAATTTCTAGAAAAGACATTTTGGCCAGTTTTCCGATTTGCACTTTGACATTTTACAACGGTTTGTCAAAAATTATGGGAGCCAAAAAAATAAAAAAATATTTACAGGGCGATAGGTTACTCACCATGTGTGATTCCAAATACTTTTTTCATACAAAAGTCATATCAACTTTTGTGTCTAATGTCTGTTTAATCAAAATAACTTGTTAAGTTTCTGTTTAAAACTGGCCAAAAACTGAACACATATTTTGTCCTAGTTTCGGATCATCCATTATTCGCATGCATTAATGCATATACGTTGCGAACTCAACGACACAGACATAGCAGACATGTATACATGTACGTAATGGGTTCTTTAACTGTGCGGCATGGGGAATAGTATTGTTGATAGTTCGCTGCACAACTGAAAAAGTCGAGTCACAATTTACGCAAGTTCTACGTTTGGTTTGTGTTGGTAATTCCAGAAATTAGGGGTCCAAATGTGTGGCATTTTTGTGTCCCTTTTACATTTGACCTTTGTCAGATCTGCTACATCTGATGTTGAAATATCACTGGAATTGATTTCAAACTATTACTATTTGTGTAGTAGGTAATTTGTATTAATTCATCACTCTTGGAAATGAGAAAATGAGAACTTACAAAATCGTAAGTCAGATGTGACAGGGGCACGAAAAAAAATGGACCCCTAATTTCTGGAATTACTCCAAACCGATCCAAAAATATGAAAAGTGTCCTCGTCACTTTCGTTGATCCTGTAAGTCCAAATTAAAAGCTAAGATTGTGAAAATAATTTGGTAGTATATCCAACACACAAGGCGGACTACTGACCACATTTCACCAGAATTTGAGGATATCTTGTAGCTGCAATCTCACTGAATAATTTTTGCGATCTGCAACTAGGAAAATGACTGATTATCATTTTTGGAAACACTCCTAATTTTTTTCTTTCATTTCTTGTTGAAAAATCGTTCCATTCACTCACAAATTAATTTGGTTACAGGACTACTTGGCAACTCTGTGACTATCTGTATTCTGTCTTACTTGATTTTTTTTTAATTAAAAGCCAGCATTTCAGCCTTACCTTCTTGCGATTTTGTTTTTATAATTGAAAATACTGAGAAATGATTTTGTGGGGAAATGTAAGTATTGAGAGCAATTAAAGTTTTTAAAGTTCTCTCTTTCTGTGACAGTACTCTTACCGTACTTTGTTGAAAGAAATATAAAAATTGAACTTTGCAACATCTGCTGAACACTAGTTAATTATGCCCATTCAGGTTTGTTTACAAGGTTGTTTACATTGTTAAACTGAAAGTAACTAATCAATGAAACACAGCACTTGGTTGTTTTCCTTGGACAAAATAATTGGGAATATTTGTGTAGTGTCATATACAACTGTTTTTTTTGGATCTAGATGAATCTTGTGTGCAAGCCAACGGTGCCAAAAGTAGTTATGTTATACATGTATGTGTAATTACTGGCCTTGGTCTTGGCCTCGAATGGCAATGATTTGATCATGGCCTTGGCCTCAGAGACCCTGGCCTTGAACTTGGCCTTGGAGGATGTGGACTCGACTCCAACACTGGTTAAGACAACTCGACCTTTGAGACACCTCGAATATATGTGTGTCAAACCGAAAGACAACTCGACCATCGAGACAAGTCATCCATTGAGACAAGTCGACTCATTCATGTGGGTGGTTCCAGCTGTGGTGTGCACTGCGAGGGCAATCGTGCAGACTTGTGTGTGGGACTCATAATTTAATTGAGGCTGAGACTCAAGGGTCTTCAAAGTCCAAGACAGCACTGTCCATTGCACTGTGTCTTGTGTGGGATGCGGCCAGCCACCTTTTTCCTTTACCGCACCACACATGTGCCATCTATTGCCATTTGTCGCAAAACCATTCCCGTGCGTGGCGTGCCCTGAGGCCTGTGAGTGCAATGCGCGCGAATTTTCCCCAACCACATCGCCTAGCAGTTTCTCGCTAGCCATAATTGTACACTCCTCCCAGTCGAGTTGTCCCTGGGTCGAAGTCTACTTGTCTTGACGGACAAGTTTTCTTAACGGTCGAGTTGTCCAACTATTGAGTTGTCCAACGGTAGGGTTGTCTTATTACATGTACCTTCGAGTTGTCTCAATGGATGAGTTGTCCAGCAACCCTTGTCGTACATGTGCATGTAAACATAGCAAGTACATACTGCTGACATGAGCAATTTGGTCAGTTCAGTTGCAATGTTCAATATCTCTGTGTCCATATACGTCTTTGTGTCAAACAAACTGTTGGGCTACATAAAGGATTCGGCATTCTTCTGAGATAAACATGGATCTGGAGGGGATGCTTGTACCCTATAAATGGCATTGGCCATGACATGCCATCATCCCTCAGCCCAAACTGTCATGCAATGAAAATGTATCGTAACTGTGAATTCCGATTTTCAACAGCCCAAATGAATGAGGCAGTAAACATAATTGTGGGCAGAGTCAGGCCTGTTAACCATGGATATTAATTTAAGGACCTCAATAACCATTCTCACCCTCGCAACTGATTTTCTTACTGCCAAACACTGTGCCTGCATGTTTACATAGGCCTAACCCTCCCGAGGGTGTTTGCGCAGTATCAAAGCAGAAGCAGAAATAAATTTGTGCAGGCCTTACTTACTCCAAAATTTTGAGTCCTCAATACAGTATAGGCTGAGGGAAACAAAAATTTAGATGGAAAATATAATGCCACGATGTTGAAAATAGCTGACATAAGAATGGAAATAGGTCAAGTCATCCCCCGCCAACTGAAACCCTGGTCAAGTCGTCCCCTGGTTATGTTGTCCCCGGGCCAAGTCGTCCCAGGGTCAAGTCATCCCCCAAAATTGAAACCCTGGTCAAGTCGTCCCCTGGTTATGTCATCCCCTGGTCAAGTTGTCCCCTGGTCAAGCCATCCCTCCCACTAGTTGTGTGTCAAGGGTTATCTAGTATCTCTGTGTGTAATTTTATTTTTAGGTACATCAACCATACATAGAAGAGAATGGAAAATAAGATAGACAAACAGAAGACTCGTACTTATTCATTCACAATTTTCATTTGTTTCATTTTTACAACTCA